GAGTATCCGGCTGCCTTCTGTGCTGCAGTTGCCGGTGATGTCTGTACTATGCTTGCGGATGCTGGTTGGACGTTGGGAGGGCATGGTTCTTTACAGGCCAAGGCAGCCCAGGCGGCGCACAAACAGGCTCGTCGTGATGCGCCGGCGGTCGGGCCTCCCGAGTACCTCTCGAGAGTCACCATCACGTCTTCAGCTGACTTTGAGTTCCCGGCGGAGATCAGCGAGGGTCATGCAGGCATTCTGTCCGGCGTGCCGGTGGGGTCCAAACTTCTTCAGGTGCAGAAAGCGCAGAAAGGGGGTGAGTGGTGCAAAGAGGCAACATTTGGCATTTACCGAACACCTGATGCATTTGTGGCCGAGGCGATGAAAGCCAAGCACCCTTTCGACAACCCGAGCGCCCTTGACGACTCCAACATGCANNGCGATGGCCAACATTCTCACGACGGGTGTGAAAGGCACGAGCAAGCATCGAGCAAAAGTGCTGGAACACTACGAAAGAAGAGCGATGGAGCTTGAAGAGGCTGAGAAGAAGCTTAAGGCCGACATGGCCCCGGAGGTGCACAGGGTCATGGAGAACAAGCGGATCTTGTTGTTCAAAGAAGTACTTCAGGATGCTGGGATCAAGGATGAGAATCTTGTGAATGACCTCGTGGGTGGCTTTCGGATTACGGGAGAACTACAACCTTCGGGGCTTTTTCAGCGGAGGCTCAAACCGGCGGCCTTGTCCCATGACGACCTCAAAACGACGGCGAAGTGGGCCAAGCACACTGTGGCATCTTCCTGCAGAGCGGCGGCAAAAGATCCCGAAGTGGCAACTGCGGTCTGGGACGAAGCACTGGAGCAGGTGAACAAAGGATGGCTGCGGGGACCTTACAGCTGGTCTGAGATTGATGCTAAGTATAAAGGAACTTGGACAGGCTCCAAGCGCTTTGGCATCCTGCAGGGCGACAAGATCAGGGCCATTGACGATCTGTCAGAGTTCTTGGTTAATTCAGCGGTCACCGAGACTGAGAAGATTAGCCTCGAAGGCATTGACCAGATCGTCGCCACGGCTCGGTTCTTCAGTGGTGCTGTGTCCGGGGATGGCGATAACTTTGAGCTGCCGAAGGAGGATGGAGGAACCTTCAACGGCAAGGTGCATCGCGACTTCGCGCGTGCAAGGGATCGCAAGCTGGTTGGGCGGGCACTTGATTTGCGTTCAGCTTATAAGCAACTGGCTAGACATCCGGATGATGCATG